AAAACCACTGATAATCTCCCTCGATCTGGGGCTCCACGCAAGATCTCACCCCGTGGGGTCAAAATGATCACAAGAACGGTGAGCAAAAATCCCAGAACCACACGGGGGGACCTAGTCAATGACCTGCAGAGAGCTGGGACCAAAGTAACAAAGGCTACCATCAGTAACACACTACGCCGCCAGGGACTCAAATCCTGCAGTGCCAGATGTGTCCCCCTGCTTAAGCCAGTACATGTCCAGGCCCGTCTGAAGTTTGCTAGAGAGCATTTAGATGATCCAGAGGATTGGGAGAATGTCATCTGGTCAGATGAAACCAAAATATAACTTTTTGGTAAAAACTCAACTAGACGTGTTTGGAGGAGAAAGAATGCGGAGTTGCATCCAAAGAACACCATACCTACTGTGAAACATGGGGGTGGAAACATCATGCTTTGGGGCTGTTTTTCTGCAAAGGGACCAGGACGACTGATCCGTGTAAAGGAAAGAATGAATGGGGCCATGTATCGTGAGATTTTGAGTGACAACCTCCTTCCATCAGCAAGGGCATTGCAGATGAAACGTGGCTGGGTCTTTCAGCATGACAATGATCCCAAACACACCGCCCGGGCAACGAAGGAGTGGCTTCGTAAGAAGCATTTCAAGGTCCTGGAGTGGCCTAGCCAGTCTCCAGATCTCAACCCCATAGAAAATCTTTGGAGGGAGTTGAAAGTCTGTGTTGCCCAGCGACAGCCCCAAAACATCACTGCTCTAGAGGAGATCTGCATGGAGGAATGGGCCAAAATACCAGCAACAGTGTGTGAAAACCTTGTGAAGACTTACAGTACAGAAAACGTTTGACCTCTGTCATTGCCAACAAAGGGTATATAACAAAGTAATGAGATTAACTTTTGTTATTGACCAAATACTTATTTTCCACCATAATTTGCAAATAAATTCTTTAAAAATCAGACAATGTGATTTTCTGGATTTTTCTTTTCTCATTTTGTCTCTCATAGTTGAAGTGTACCTAGGATGACAATTACAGGCCTCTCTCATCTTTTTAAGTGGGAGAACTTGCACAATTGGTGGCTGACTAAATACTTTTTTGCCCCACTGTATTTATATATACAATTTCAGAATCAAACAGAGCACTCTCATAATAACGTAACACTATCAGAGACTGGATATATTCTGTGAGCCTTGTATTTTTAGCCCATCAATATGGGAATGGTACCTCTGCCAATGCTAAACCCACTGAGTAACACTGAAGGAGCTCACTAATGAGATACTCAAAAACAGAATGCACCCGACCTCAGAGATGACTAAGTGGCGTCTCTTCATGCACTGGTTGATTATCGCCTACAGTTAATGGTGAGTGATGCATGAGCAGAAATCTAAATGAGTCCATTAAAAAGAGTGTGTGTCACTGTCTGTGCCTAAGTGTGCGTGAGCTTTGCGAGGTTCAGGCTGGCAGCTGGGCTCCATAGTGTCTGTGTGCGTGTCTGTCTCTTTGTGTGTAAACAGAGCTTACATGTATTAATAGGCTAGCCATGTCCGAGCTCTAAGCCACTTACAGGTTGTCTTTTTTCTTGATCAATCCAGCTACACCCCTTGCTACTGTAGCACATCACGGCAGGTCGGACAGTTCCTATGGCAACTAGATCAAATCATCAGAGAAACCAGCCAAGGTGAAGAGCTTGCCGAGAAATATGAGGTTGTGGTTACCCCAAAGGAGAGGGGATGGAGCTAAAAATATCGCCTATCAGAAACAGTGAGACCTGAGACACGATCAATATGGCAGAGGGGGGGGAACTTGATATGTCAACCAGTCGCTCTGATTACAGACAGAAACACAATATCCAAAAGGATTAAGGTAGAGAAAGCTTGTTCACAGCCTGTTGTTGTCTGCTCTCTTTCCCATTATCAGGTCTCCCAGGATACTGCAAATCAGAAATGATATAATAGTGATAACACACTTCAAAGCATTTAATGGCAAACATGCGGGCGTACACACTCGAGATAGTTTGGTACGGACTGAAATGTACTCGTAATAACAATCAAGAGCCAAAATGGGGTATTGAATGACTAATAACAAATATGAAATATAATCGTGCCAATTATAAATCTGAATTTTATTTGAGCAAAGGCCTTATATTATATGATTTGACAACATTTAACGTTGGATGTTTGGGTCCATTTGTGATATCGAAGATGGAAGTTTGGCAGAAATGTGGTCCTCAAAGAAAGGTATTGCAACAGAAGAGTCACAAATGCAGATATACACAAACATAAATACAAAGGCAAAATAAGAGGACTGACAGCAACAACTGCAGACTCTCTCTTGAACTCTGCATAACTTAAAATACCAAAAGACATAATACATTATTCATCCCAGCCCAGTTTAGCTGCAGTATTTTTAACTGATATGAACTTCTAAGAAGTTTTGAAGTGGGGAATAAAATACATTAAAAAGTCATTATTTAAAAAGGATCCATGAATGGCAGACTATTGCAACCCTTGAGAACAATTGAAGGCAATAAGAATGAGAGGAAGAATGAGGCTTAATGGATGTACATTGTGCCTCTCCGTTTCTGGCCTTATTACAAGGGTTAATGAAGGCAAGGAGCCTGCTGAGATCCTCTCTCTCTCTCTCTCTGGTTCTGCAGGGACTCAACGTAACTGTATGGCCCAGAAACCTACTTCTGTTGTAGGCTCACAGACTGACACAGCAGATGACACCAAAAGCAAAGACTCACACACCAACATGGACTCAGAAATGCATCCACCTGTGCACACACATACATTTCATAACACTTAAAGTAACCTTATCCTGGTTTATACCTTTAGCGCACTCCTGATATTCAATAATGTATATTCAAGTGTCATTAACATGCAGTTTGCTCACTAGTCACCCAATCCCTTCTGCTTTCACTCATACATATTTTATGTTGTTTCACTCAGATCTACATCTAGTAATAGTTTACCTTACTGATTAGTGAGGTTTATTTGTTGTTATATTAAGCTGATTTGCTGAAGTTAGCATGGATTAACCACATTGCATAGGGGGTTTAAATATTCAACAAGCTTATATTGTGTTCTGAGACCTTTCACCTATCCAGAAAGAAACAGGGGGCTGTTCAAGACGTGCCCAGAATTTTCTCTCATGAATGGCACACATTGGCAGTCTCAACCCTATGCAAATGTCATTTAAATCTTACAATCTGACTCTCCCATCTTGCTTGAAAATCCATCATTCTAAATGTTATTGTCCTCAAAAACATAATCGCAAACTCTCCTACATGCATTAACCCACGCATTCATACACAAAAACAAAAGGAGAAGTGAGGTTCTGCACTCAGCCCAACCCAGCACATTTGGCAGTGAGCATGTTACCATGCCTACAGGCCCAATCAATACAATGTCTAAAAATAGCATGACTATAATAGTCTTACTTCCCATCGCAGAGGGGTGACCGGGGAGAGAGAGCAGCATTTATTGTGTAATCTCCAAGATAATCGTAACCAGTGGTGACAACACAGTTAGTGGGCATTGAGCAAAAGCGTGAGTTTAATCCCCCCAACAGGAGCTTTCTCAAAGAAAACCTGATCCTGGGGATTTTATTGGCCGGTGCTGGGCTCTAACAGCAGGGCAGGGTTAACAGTGGATCATTAAATAGACTGCAGGGCTTCAGAGACAGGAGGACATGCCAGGGCCAACACATGAAAATGAAGCGGGATACATGCTTACACAGAGTACTAAAATGGCAATTAAGAATGAAAAGCCCACTGTACAAAGGCCATATTCATGAGGATGAGTCACAAATTGGCTATTAAGGAGATGATTACTGTGCAACACAAAATGGCAGGACGCCCTTAACGCCAAACACAATCTGTTTCATAATAATGTTGTCGTTCTGATGATGCTGTTAGGGTGAAAACTGTGTCGGTACATTCAATAACTTGGAGCTACAGAGGCATAGAGAGGGGAGCACACAGACAGAGACAATGATGATTGAGGATGGCAGGAGAGATAGAGAGGTGACATGAAGGCAAACATGCTGAGATTAGAAAGCTACATCAAGTCACAAATATAACCAGATACCCTGACATACTGGCAGAGATGTCCTTTTCCTTTGTGTGGCTTCATAAACTCGGACGTGTGCCAGCAGAGAGAAAGTGAGTTTGACCTCATTTCACTGCAGCGCAGGCCAAGTTCAGAGCCATTTCCACATTAGTGCTGTAGTGGGGAATATGTGCATGGATCTTTCCATATGTACACATATGCCTGTACACTACAGTCCTGTTTTGATGTGTGTTCTTTTTATAGCATCTCACTTGCACTGCTGAGGAAAAAAAGTGAGCTAAATATGTGGGTGGACTATCAAGAGGCCGTGACTCAGATCTGTTTTCCAAGGCAAAGCCCTGGCACACATCGCAGCAGCGTGGGTGAAAGCCCAGACTTCATTCATAGATTTCTTTCATCTTTACCTTCTCTTGACCCCTTTCGGTCTCAGTGTCACTCTCCCCACAGCTGTGGACAGGGACACAAATGCTCTTCATTCACACAAGGCTCATTAAAGAGGAATGAGAATGTGGTCATAAAATATTTAAGCATTTTTTACTCCTACCAGCCTGTTGCTCTTTCTATTCTCCGGCAACACAATTGATACATAATATACAAACGCAAAAACTAAATCGCATCTCAGTGACCGATGTATTCATCTCATAATGTTTGAAAAACATCAGCTCCCACTGTCTGTACCACAGAAAGGAAATTGAGACAGGAAGCTTTAGAAACATTGATACATTGAAAGCCAGCAAACAATCAGCAATGGCAGTCAAAGGTTTGTCTGAGGTTCTCTTAAACCATAAAAAGGCTTAGTGTTGCCTTCCACAACACTAACAGTGGTAACAAAATGGGGCGCTTATCTTCTAACGCCAACTCAAAAAGAAATGATTGGGTTTTTGCCCCCCTCATACAGTATAGCAATGATGATGATATTTTGACCAAAGATTTCTCACCAGTTTTCCCTCCAGCGTGTAGATCTTCTTCACCACGCCAGAGTCGAGCTTGATGGCATCAGTAATATCGGTCAGGACTTGTTCGTAGGAATGGGCCGTCTTCTTGTTCAGCAGGATCCTCACAGTTTTGCGGGGCTTCACTCCGCTCCGAACTACGGACACTAGCTTCGGACGTATGAAGTCCTTGGTTTCACGACTCTCTGGAGCCCCAGCCTTGGCGCTGCCCAGGGAGGGGGGCCCGCGGGAGGATGCAGCCGAGGCCTTGACGTTCACCGACCAGTTGGGGTTCACGTTTTTTGTGTAATCCAACTTTTTGTAAGCTTCGATGGAGCTGCACACATAGCTTTCACCTGTTGGGGTTCAAATGGAAGGGGAGAGAGGAAAGATACATTACTTAAAGGAACAATGTTTGAAATTCTCTTTTGAGAGAGCAAAAATTGTGAAAAATAGTGCTGACTACAGAGAAAAAAGCGAAGGAAAGAAAGGGAGCAGAAGCAAGGCTGTCTATTTGTATTGTGTAACATCTCTTAAATAAGCAACTATTATTCTAGCAGCAGGCAGCATATTACAGCAATACATATATTCAACCCTATAAAATGATATGGGAAAATTCTGCAGCTTTTGTTCAATTGTCTACGTTACAGGCCAATTTTTTTCTTAAAGCCAAAACCTCTTGTACCTCTTCCCATGTCACTTCCTAGAGAGTAAAACAGTTTAAGAGGGAGCTAATCTGAAACAAAACATATGCCAGGTTCACCATATGGCCACCAAATGACTGATATAATCTTCACCATAATCTACAGTGTGATTAGTGAGTATATGAAGCAGTGCCCAAAAGAAACAGTTTATTAAGCATTTTAAACCTGTAAATGATTACTCACTAAATATTTTCTGTAAATCTAGGTTTGTGTAACCCACAGGGAGGTGAACAAGGAAACATGGCATGGCAGCCGAGGATCAGGCAGTGGTTGTTAGAAAAACAGATTAGGCTACATTATGCTAACAAGGCCTTGAATCCCCCAGGTGTGTTGTAAAGTTGTGTAGGCTACCCACCTTCTACCAGCTGCTCAATATTGGAGATCTTCTTGCAACCATCCAGGGTGTAGATGGTGCGGACGCCCTGCGGCAGGTTGACGTTGTCGGACAGGGAGCGGGTCATGTCCGCCAGCAGGGCGTCAAAGGTCCGGAACCGGTCTGCGGAGATGGCGTAAACTATCCCGTTGAAGTACCGGTCTCCGTTGCGGTAGAATCGGACCTTCTTGGCTCTCCTCTCCGTGGTAAGAGTCTTCAGGGTCCGGGTCCGATACAGGCTGCAGTGGGCACTGTGCGTGGGGCTCGGCACCCCGTTCAATTTCGCACTGGACCGGCCGTGCCTCTGACCTTTGTCCCGCTCGTCGAAATGCTCCATCTCCATTTCTCTGGCGAGGCTCACAAGTACGGCTGTACAGTCTAAGGGAGGACAAACAAGTAGGAGGGTAAGGCTGCGTTGAAAAGTTTTTCTCGAAGTAAACAAAAACAAACTGTGTCGAAAATGATAGACACCGACCGAGGAGAGGTTTGGACGGGCTGGTAAAGTCCGTCGCTGGTGCTCTGACTGAAAATAACTCCCTAATGACAGATTAAGAGCTGTTAAGCCGAGCAGCGGACAGCATGCCTCATGACGACCCGCACTGTCTGTCAGTGAGTTCCTCTGAGGCGCAAATGGATGGAGAGAGAGCGGCAGTCACGAATCAATAAAAGCCTATTAATGTTCTCTTTCTAAATAGTCAGAAACACTGGATCGGCCCAGCATAAAAAAACGATCACATAATAATTTAAATAATTTAAAAAAAAAATGAAATGTTTATTTACTTTCTAATTAACGGGGCTAGAATCGACACGAGACATTCGTTTATGACAACAAAACATGTAAAGGGAATAATGATTTTAACAACAGCTGATACTGACACAGGCTTACCTACGTGCGTAATTAACGCTTCTGTGACGGTCACCTCCAGTGTGACTGATGTTTGATTTCCCAACAGATATGAAGAAAAAGAGTTCAGTGGGCTGGTCGCTGACACTGGATGGTGGTAACGTGTGATCCTATCCTGGCTGCAGTGAGCCCCGCTGTGCGTCTCTTTGTTGTCCGGTTGATGTGCCCCACCACCACCACCAAACAACAGTGAGTGTGTGTGTGCGTATGTGTGCGCAAGAAGCTGGACTGGAAATGAACTAGGTAGCAGCTGCTCCCCCCCCGCTTCTCTGTTCACCCACCAGCTCCTCTCTCTCCTCCTCCACTTCACTCTGTCGTGATCTTCATTTAGTGCCTCCACCCCTCATTAGGATGCAAACCCACACTTCCCACTCGTGCTGGGGGTGCTGCCTGTCCTGCAAACACCCCCAGCACGCGTCATGCGTCAGCTGGGGGGCCAGTCGAAATATTCAATTTCAAGAGCAAAAATGTACATTTATTAAATTATTGAAACTTTCCAGAGACAAAGTTCTGGAGAATTCCCTGGATCATACAGTACCTGTATGAATATATATAACATGAGTTTTACTTTTAATACAATTTAATATTTTATATTGTTGCATCGACTCAGTTGTCTTGTCTTATCTGTCAGAGAGAAACCATTATGTATTTTATTTTTATTATCATACATTTGACCTCCTTGTGTCTATTAACCTGATAACAGTTTATATTTTGCCGCATATACCTTTTTAAAGTTCTTAACAAATAATCTGAGGGGAATTTCTTGTTTGTTTTTAACTTGTGATGTGTCATTTTGTAAAGCACTTTGAGCCGCATGTGTTGTATGAAAAGTGCTATATAAATAAAGCTTTATTATTATTCTTACTTTTATTTTTACACACACATTGTACATGTTTGTGAATGCCATTGACTTGACACGTGAAAATCTATACAGAGGTCTAAACTCAAACCAGTCACATATCTGCAAAACCATTGGACTTTAAACAAAGAGCAGCATTGTGTTCAATGTTATGTAACATACTTTCTCCATACACTTGGCAGCTAAAACCTAAACTATAAGATCCAAACTAAGCAGAGCAGCTTTTACAGTGATCCAAAGGCAGTGTGACAAGTAGGATTTCTCTCGTGTAGAAAGTCTCCATTGGGATTACATGTCAAATGATTTCAACATGTTGAGTTGCACAGGAATGGCAGGAAGAGAGATGAGAGCCGGAGACGATGCTGCCGTGTCATCAGAAGCTTGTTTCTTCCTATGAGCTCTGAAGTTTGCATGTCGACAGGAAGTAGTCTCCAATGAAGAGATCGAGACCACTGACCTACATCCTTGCCTCAAGAGACCACCTAATTCTGCTCCATCAACACTCCCTAATAAACTGTGTGTGTGTGTGTGTGTGTGTGTGTGTGTGTGTGTGTGTGTGTGTGTGTGTGTGTGTGTGTGTGTGTGTGTGTGTGTGTGTGTGTGTGTGTGTGTGTGTGTGTTGCCCAGCATTTTTCTGCTTAATGTTTTAACACTCTCTGGAAATAGTGTCCAGATATCAAAATAACATATTAACAGATGGAAGAGGGTGTTTATGTTGAACATGTCACAGCTTTAATATATACATTGTTTGTTTGTCGTTATATTAATATGCCTTTGACATGTTTAATGCTTTTCTCAAAACGTGAAACATAATACGGTTCAACTAATCCACATTTACATAAATATATCAGACATTTTAATGGCTTATTACAGTATGTTATTGCATCTTTTATGACTGCTTCCGTGTGCCAATCTGCTTGTTTGACTATACATGCACATAATGAAAGACAGGTACACAACGTAAGAAAAATACACATTTTCTCCACACAGATCTTTCTATTTTCGGGAGACACAGTGTGTGTGTCACAAGCTAGGCCTGGCAAAGTTCCTGTCTCGATGAGAAACAGAGGATATGTGGGGGAATATGTTCTTTAGACAAAGAAAGATGGAGGACATCGTCTAGGACTTATAACAGCAGTATCATGGTCTCAATCCTATTCTTAATGCCTTAGAATTTGCAAGTCAAATAATGATATGTGTCAGTGTCCACATGTATACAAAAAGAGACATCAGAATGAAAAGACTTGGGAATATATCATCCATCCAAGTAGATGTTATCTTTGCTCCTAACGCATAGGCAAATTCAATTGACTTGTATGAAGAGCGAATGTGTGCCTTTGCCTGCACAATTAATGTGATCCCTCGTAAAAAGGTTCTTGCTTTTTTATGCAAAGATCTTCTCTTAGTAACTCACAACGGCCACTTTTGGACTATTTCAGAGACACCAAAAAAGAACATGAGAATCACATTTAATAACCATATGTAAATGCATTTTGCTTATGGACTGATGATTCATATTGTGATGAATTCGTCTTGGAATAATTTAGGAAATTAAATCAGCCTCAGAGAGATATTTAAAACCTCTACCTACTCAGTCTCTTGGCATATGCTTCTGTACAAAGATACATTTCCCGTTCTATTCACACAGGTTGGTGTGTGAACATTCGGACCGGTGAACAATTCTGTTACTCTGACACATTTCAAAGTGTTAAAGGTAGAGTCTAAATCAGGTCGATTAGGAATCCTTTGATTTAATAATCAAATTGGGTGTGGGTATGACACTGCCCAAAATCACTGCATCATGGTATGTTGACCTTGTTATTCTAAATTGTCGGATTAGAACTTTTGCACAGAGTTTGAATGAATGTTTGAACATTGCTTACCAATCCAAAATGTTGCTGAATGCATTATTTTAGTAGTCCGTTTGAAAAAGTTCAAATAAAAAGAAGCAGCAGTATTTCATAACAGTCACGTTGTGGTCTAAGTATCAAGAGGAACAAAATGGTTTCACAGTTTGAGTATGCTGTTTATTAAGTGGCAAAGCTAAGCAGATTGATCAATAAACATTTATTATTAAAAACGTATAAATACTTATCGTTATTGTTTAAAAGTTGGAAAAATATGGTCTTGGATTGTGATTAGCAGAGGCTCAACTTTGAGGTATCTGTAATGGACATATCAAAAGTGGTGTTGAGTTATCACAAAGGTCAACTAAAGTGTGAATAAAGCACATGGATATGTACATGAATGCATGCAATCAATCACCCTCACAAATGAGTCTCCTACACTCTCACATATGCACTAGCATAGACACTAAATGTATTTCCAGCATACTCAGGGTTACAGAGAGAGGGGCTAACTGAATTAGCATGGGCAGTTCTGTGACGCGTGTTGTTTTGACGGATACTGTAGTTATTTGTCACTGTGTTTCACCTGTCAGCAAGAGACAGCTACAGCAGGTGCTTACTCTGTAGCTGTGTGATTCATGAGTTGAACTAAAGCTTTTGCATGAAACAGAGAGAACAAGAGGAGGAGGGGAAAGAAAGGTGGTGTGCTCTAGATGTGCTCACTCTTTCATAAGGCAACATGCACTCTTACAATAAAGTCATTCATCTAAGACAAACAACCTGTCACTGCAGCGCATTTATGATTTCACACTGAGACAACTTTATCAGAAATACGTGTGGGCCTGTCAACATCCCAAACTAGAACTCCCACAGTGTGTTTCCAAAGATTTTAGACATTGAAGTCAATACCAGCAAACAAGTTTCTGGAGATGGATTAATGATTTTTATCAAATGCTTTTTTTGGACTGTGTTTATTAAATGAATGGAAGGATAAATTAGTGGTTAATTGTGTGAGATCATATTGCATTTAAATAAAAAGCTTCATAAATCATCCTCATCTTATCCACATGTCTCTGTTGGTGTCACTACAATCTGTTGACTTGTTTACATCATCTCATTTAAGTTAGTTAATTAGTTCCCATTCTTGCGTGGACTTTAACTGTCACACATTTTACAAAGCCATATTTGTCGCTAATATATAATATTTCTATAAATACATATTGGGATTTTCCTTCACAACAAACTGAAGGTTGAAAATTCAGAATCATGTTAAAGGACTATTTCAGCTGGACGGGTGCTTGTTGACACGGGGGTCTATCTTTGCTCTTTAAGTTCAAAGTCAAGTTTTCATAGTGGCTACAACACAGCTTTGGACATATATTCACAGAGCAGGTATATTCCTATTAAAAAAAACAATTATGTTTGGTCATATTCTCTGAGCTAATCAATATTAAGCTATTAGATTTACAGACCAATCGGTAAATAAGAAAAGCCCAGATTAATGTATAAATCCATGTTGTTTTTCCCTATAAGATACTGCTTCTATTCAATTATGTGTTTGTGAAGAAGTGTGGAGGAGGGGTTCAGTTTTGTCAGCCTCAAAACTTTAACAGCTTCGGGTAATTTTCCTGTTCACTACTGCATCTCATTTGAGCGTATTCTTACACACTTGTAAAGGCTGTCAGTGGGTGGGACGGGGGTGACTGGTTGCTCTGTGGATGAACTGCTTTTGGAGAGAGTGCTGGATGCGGTGTTGCTTACGTAATAGTAGTCGTAGGAGGTGTTTAGAGAGAAAAAAATTGAAGTGACACAAGAAATGTCAGACTCAGCAGGCTTCTGGTACATTAGGAGTCAACCTCACTGAAGCCTGTGATATTCCTCCCTTTAACGTTTCTCTTTAATACTGCTCTTTTTGTTGAAACAAAGAAAGGTGTAAGGCGATAATAATGCCACTTCATTATAAATGGAACATGTTTTACCACTGTATTTCACATCAATAAACACCACAGGATAACCATCAGAAATGCAATGTTTCCTCCCAGTAATCTTTTGAGAAATGTAAACAAAACCACATCTGTTTTTAAAAAGGGCTATAACACTAGGTGGGGTTTAGGGATTGTGTTTCAGGTAGTACTTCAGTGTGGGTAACCTGCTTCCCCTTTGGGATGTCCTCTCTTCTCTTCTCTCCGCTGTGACTCCATTGCTACCACCTCCTCCTTTCACACATGCTCCTCCTCCTCCTCCATCTTCTTCTCTCTCTTTTTCCTTCTTAGCATCAGCCTCTGCCTTCCTGCTGGTCTGCCTCCCTCTATGCAATCAGAAAGAAATGTTAGTTTAGCAAAAACAATATAATAGACATAATAGACACAAAATGTTTTCTATTACTAATAGAATATATCATATTCTATTGACGTGTATATAGACTTCTTGCACTCTTTTTGTATTTGTTTGTATTGTATTATATATGTTGTATCATTAGATATTGCCATTTCTACACTGTAGCTTATGACATTAAAAATTACAGTGCTTTGGAGAGATACAAATAACACTCAGATTCTTGTTTTTACATTTTCCAACAATGAACAATTATGCAGGTTCCAATTTTTAACATGTACAGACTCCTTAGGGTTAATTTGTCCAGCATGATTACTTTTATCATTTGGTAAAACAATTACTAATTTCTGACACATTTTTACATGATCTTTACTCTACATGTATCTTCTTTGTTTTTAATTGAACTAGTTGTAATGCTTATATCGTATAAGTGATGTTGTTTTGTGCATATTTGTGTTATTTAATTCAGCTCTAGAGTATCTGTTTGAGTGTGCTCACACTTCATGTTATTGTGTCCATCACCTGTAGGTGTTCACTGACCTCTTGTGTTTGCTCTCTGCTGCCCTCTGTGCCTCAGTGGAGTACTGTCTTCTCTGGGCTTCAAGTGTGGAGGACAGCTGTAGCAATGGACACGTCAGGAGTAAAGCAGTTAGTGCACTGCAGCAGACACATACACATTGTGATAGCTGTACACACATCATTTTGTGTTAACATCAGATATGAGCCAGTCTCATGCTGCCACTTCAAATGTAGAGATTTGGTGCCTAAATGTTGGGAGAGAAATGCTGTTTGCAGCTGCATGATCAGTTTTGACGCAGCACAAGGCAGAAAGTCCTTGACTGACTTTCTTTTTGGCAGAACAGAGATTTAACCATTATATAACAAGAGAAAGCAGCAGTGGAGGATGAATGAGAAATCACAATTAGGCATGAAAGAGAAGAGCTGGAGGGCACACCAGGCTGCTCTTAACACTGGATTAACCTTTTGTACAGCAATTAACAATGACAGCTAGTCTTAAGTATGGCATGTATTTAATTAATAGTTTATAGTTTTAGTTGAGAGCTACTTGCCTGATTAGTTATGAAAACTTTATACAAGAATGAAAGGGAATGCTTACCTTGGCAATTTCTGAAAGATATGCCCGCCTCTCATCATTGGTTTTATGAAATGCCTGAAATGTGAAAGGAACAGAGGGCCTTGGCGCAAAACTTTTTTTTCTTCCATGGACTCATTTAAATCGCAGTGCTTGTTATTTGTGAACTGCCCTGTGTGTATTAGAGTGCATTTCATGAGGTTGTCAATGTTAATGAGCAACAGATTACAACATGGATTACTGGCTGCGCATGCTGCGTGTTAAACCTTTATTCATCTAATATGGCGCTGTTTGCTGAGCACACAATAAACAAAGAACCAAGTCAAACTAAGAGCATACCGGACATAGCAGTGCAGGACAAAGCTTATGTTACATTTTGAAAATGCAAAACAAGAAATATCAGACAAATCTTTTTCAATCCCTTGCTAATGATGGGAATGTGTTACTGAAATATGTAATAGCAGGAACAAATGTAAAGCTGCTTGTCTTATAAATAATATAAAGGGACCAGAAGACCTTGTGACACTCAACAACACCGACAACAAGGTCCAAACCTTTCCCTCCTGTTCGATTCTGCTGTGAGCGTCCATCAGTTGACTCTGGAGGTCTGACTTCTCCTCAGTCAGGAGCTTCAGACGCTGTCTCAGTGTTTCCTGCGGCAAAGTGTTTCCATTAATTACATCAATTCATAACAAAGAAGCATGAAAGGTGTTGCACTGCTGACTAATTAAAAATCAATTTGTACCAGAATAACACAATGTTATCTGCTAGGATCAAACAATAACATAACACTTAATGCAAAAACATGAGCACAAAAATGGATTAGGCTCATGCATTATTCAATAACCAAATAAACACATTAGAGCTGAGACATGGTGAGTTAACATGAGGTTTCTAGCACAGAGCACAGTGTTGGGTTTAGAATAAGCAGCCGTAGGAGATGCTTGTGGATAAACCAGTTGCTGAGTATTTTATTAATCGTTTAATGTTCCAGTCAGAAGTGGAAGTGTTCAGATACTTTATCAAGTAAGTAGCGATATCACAGTATAAAGATACTCAGATAAGTATGTAATCATCTTGTATTGATTAACCGAAAACCTTATTTATATAAATGTATGTAAGAACTATCTGCAACCACAAAGGAAAGTGCCTTTTGAGTGGTGAAATGTAGCCGCTTTTGTTTTTATTATACCTTAATTTATTAACGTACAGGTTGCATTATCTAATGTGTAGATGATTACCATTGAGCTTAACACTGTCACTGTCGCTACGCTTTTTAAAAAAAAATCTATATTCTCCTCACATACAAACATACTCTATCCTACAGTCTCGCTCACAGTTAACAGAGCTTCAGGCCACAGTCTTACAGTCACTCATGGATACTCTAATGGGCATCTGTTAGTTCTGCCTTAAGGCACACAGACACACACATGTTTAGTCTGAATTGTGCCACCTTTTAGTGTGTGTTGTGCATTGTAATTAGTGTGCTCTACTCTCCCATGGTTAGTAATCCTGTGATTAAAGTGCTGTGATTAAACTCTGTTTGATTTCAGCATGCATCAACGGGAGGATGGAGAGCAGCTGGCATTACAATCCTCTCTGTCCTGCTGCCTTCTCCCTCATTCTGAGTCTCTGGCTCTCTCTGCTGGTATGATGTGCTTCTATAGCTCTCTGTGGGTTGTCTGTTTATTGATCTGAACTTAGAAAAAACACACTAAATACAACCAATGCAACAAAACAGATTAAGAAAAAGCTCAATAAAGAAATTAACATGTTTGCACTCACTTCCGACATGTCATCAAACGTTCGGATGGAGGCCAACGGATCTGTGAAAAACAAGAGAAGATGTCAGCATTATGAGTGCAGGCTCTGAATAACAATGTGATTAAACATACTGTTAAGTGGCCTGTTCTCAAAAACTCTTATTTCAGAGCAGACAGAGGAGCATTTTACACACAAGTTGGAGGCAGAAACAGGACTGAGCTGCCTTAAATCATTTTCAAAAGTTCAACCTCAGCTCCTATAATGGGTTTTTAATGAACCATGTAGACAACATAGACACCATGACCTAAAGGACAAAAATGTCCCTATTGAAAACCATTTAAACAACCGTTTGTCATCCCACCAGCATTTCACCATAACATGATGTGTTCTATTATATCAGGGTTGGAATGGAGCAATGGCTTCATAATTGTAATTTGTAGTATTTTCAATCAGATTGAGCTATTTTTAAAGGTTTTCCCTATTGGTTCATATTCTATAATGATCCTCAATAAACGATTTTGACACAGACATCTTTGTGCAAGTCCATCTGTGGACTTCAGAGTATTCTTTTATAGGCAGTGAGTAATTTTAGGTTTAATGAGTCAAATAAAAACATAACAAATGTACTTCTAGCATAAACCTTTGAAACTCACCCATGGGGTTTCCTCGCAGGTCCTCCAGTCTCTCATGAATGAATGACATCTGTCGCTCCAACTGTCCATTTAGCTCTGTCTGTGTCTCAAACCTAGTCTTCCACTCATTTTCTGTACAGAATAAACAGAGGACACTGTTAGATTTTAATCACAAATGGGACAGGACATGACAGACACCACAGCTGAGTGTGTGCTGATACCAGTGGATTATTGGGTAACATGTTGCCACAGTGGGTCAAGATGGCATGACATAGGCCTACTATACACTTTTTTTATTATTAAATAAGTTAAAGGTATACGAAACTCACCCTGTCCATCAACACTGTGCAGTCTATCCTGCAGTTCACACATGGTACTCCGAAGGTCAGACACTGACTCTTCGAGCATTTCTCTGTAATGATAGAGACGAGACGATGTCCTTTTTGCAGTTGAAAATAACATATAATCTCCTTAATAACTTTGTAAGTAATACATTTACTTTAAACAAACTTACTTAATTTCCCACTCATGTTCAAGCTCTGCCTGCAGTCGTGCCAAATCGTATTTGCTGTAGTCGCTATCTCCACTCATGTTTCTGAAAAACTCACAACTGAACAAACGTTTGTGCCTCGGAGTTACTATGGAGACAGCTTTTTCCGGCCCGTACAGAGAGACTGGGACATAATGGCGCAGATTAGCGGGGAGTGGAAAATAAAACGTCCTCTTTGGTTATTTATGGATGTACCCGAATAAATAACTCGTAAATTACATATTCGTCACATAGAGTGGCTTTATTATGCAAGCAGTATTTTTTAAATGACTATTTCGCGCTTAATTAGTCCTGAAAATGGACGACTGTTTACTAAACTCTTCATTAATGGCCTGTAAAATGCCGGTTAATTCATCGCAGACTCATGGTAGGGTAGGCTATTATATATTTTTATAATTGAAAAAACAACATGCAAATGACGAAAAAGAGCTCTGATATTTCTGTTGTTTGTTTTTGTCCTCTATAACATCACTTTTCGAAAAATAAAAAAATACAACTCTGGTAATCATGGATAAATGTTAAGTTAAAAAAGGTAATGTATTACATTTGTTTTCTGGTTTTCATTATCATAACCAGGTTCACTCAAATCATAAATAGGCCTATATAAAGTACAGATGGTCAATATACAATTGTTGTTTGTCGACTAAAGATGCTTAATGTTTAGGCCTAAAGTACACAACATGTGATAGTAAGTAGGCCTACTACATAATAAAAAACCTAACATAGGCTACTACCACAAAATATTTCACGTAACCCAAACCAATGCAGGCAAACGCAGTAACAAAGTGCTTTACGATTTGAACAGAAAACATTTAAAACACAAAGAGAAGGAGATTAAATAAAAGCCATACATTTTTTTAGAGACAGAGAGAACAAACAGAATGTCATTAAACATAAATAAATCACAAAAAAGCCATTTTAAAGTAAGTTTTGACCTACAAAAACTGTTTGCAGACCGAATCTCCTCCGGCCCCTGACAGCTCCTATTAAAATACTTAGGCTTTTTAACAGCTTCTTAAGTAAAATTGCACTTTCACTTGGGCTAACTTCGATATTTGTGCTATTTATCAACATGCAACAAATGTCCTGTGTCATGTCTATTTTTTCTTCTCTTCCTCTTTCTTCTGCTTTTCCTTCCCATCTGACTCTGCTTGATGTTCTCGTTTCTGCGCCTCCTTCCCTTCAGCTTGTCCTCCCGGGCCTTTGACTATGGCTTTGGCTGTCTGCTTCCCAGCAGTCTTCAAGAAGGCTTTTATGCCCAGATTGTCAAAGTTGTATGCAGTGACACCAACATTAATCGCTGATTTGAGAGCAGTGTCTGTAGCTGCTCCTGCATCATTACCATACCTTTGTCATGAAAAAATATGGTGGAGTTAGGAGAGAGTGGGTTGTTTGTAAGAAAAATAAATTAGGGTATGTAAGGAACAGAAATAATGAATTAATGTGATCAAACTGTTTTTATTCACATTAACACACCAAAGGTCAAGACAAATAGTCATATTTCACATTGTAGCATTTTTATTAGTTACCATCGAGGAAATAGGGTTACAGATAGTATCAACAGCAAGAGCACCCCCACCCAGCACAAGCACACCCAGAGACACACACATAAAATAAGCTAAAACTACTTCAAGTGAAAAAATAACCCAAAACAAATACTTTATATGTCTTAGTATAAAATAATAAAATGAGAAAATTCTGTGTTAGCTGTTGCATTAAAAAAGTCATCGTGAGAGTTCTTTCCTTGCTTGATCTAGGTTAATGAAAGTATATACATGAAAGAGTTGATCAGTTGTTAGTTCAAAAGTCTTTGCCTTTATTTCCCCCTGCAGTCATATTTTAGTTTTTGTAGTTTTTATTAGACTTTCTAAGGCTTTAAATCTGAAAAGAAATAGGTAAGAAAGCAGATCAGTTTCCCAACGTACCAAAAAGAAAGCAACACAGTAGGATGGTATTCTACTATTATTCAAAGAAACCAAGTAGATTTAGAAAAAGATTGAAAACAAGATCTACAGTAGTAACATGTGTATCAATTACATAGAAAAGCAGAAATGTGAAGTGTGTGAAATGTCAGAACTTACTTGTACGTCACAGTTGTGACAGTCTCGGCTGAAACACTTTTGCCAACCAGCTTCGCTCCGGTCTCCATACTAGACCAAACAGTAGAGAAACCTGGTTTGGATGAAAAGTAAAATTGAGAACTCCAATAAGACTTAGATCACCCACATTGAGGTTAATATTTCAAATGCCATTATATATCAAATCCCAAAACATGTCTGACTGTTTTGACAGTTGAAAGTGATAAAAAGTAAATTATCAGACATTGTAGAAAGATAGTAGTACTATACCCTGAAATTCACACTGTTTTGGTAAATACCTTGTACACTGCTGGCTGCCACTAACTTGGCTCCCTCCCAGTTGGAAGGGCCGCCATCTTTATTCTTCTTCAGAGACTCTGGGACCAGCTTAGCGCCCTGTTTCTTCAAATGGGGAGCCATCTTGTCTGCCATGTGTCCTGCCACTGTACTCACTCCATTAACTGTAAATATAAACATGCAAAATATACATCCGTGATAATTCATAGTACAGAAGAATAATGACACTGTAGGCTATACAAAAAATAAAGAAAATCAAATGTAAGTTTTCTTCAGTTTTGAGAAAAGTGGATAACCACGTTTTTTAAACATCGTTGTATCTAATATAATCCTTTATCTTACTTGGAATAAGTTCTTACCTAAGAATTGGCTGACTTTCACAGCCCCCCCGGTGGCCTGTTTAGCCACCTGCAGACTTTTGGTGACATGGGGGCTGACCTCTGAAGCAGTTTCCTCGGGCGTGATGTGGTCCCGGATCTTGGCTGCTCCTCTATGAACGGCCCTTCCAGTGGCCTCGGCTCCTTTTACTAACCCTAAACTCAACCGTGTAGCTCCTACACACAGAAACATTTTGGGTGTTAAACGTAAGTTAGCAATATCATTGATCATTGTGTTGTTTAAATATCTACTACAGGTTAATTAAGAGTTGTACAAAGTTTTCCTTGCGGCACTCAACTTGTTAAGTAGGGAAGCAACAATGATAAGCAGTGCCCTCTAGTGGTTATTTTTGTGAATATAGCAACAGCAAATGTATATGGTCTCTTTACAAAAGTACAAAATTGTGTTTTATTTCTTTATTAAGGCTCACACAAGCACACCTGTCAAGATTCCTTGTGCCATCTTCTCACTCCATCCAGGAAGTGGTGGTCTGTCCTTCTCCCCTGATGGCACTGTGAGCCCTTCAAGCTCTTTGGTGGGACCAAGGGGGACTTTCTCACTCAGGTTGATGACCTCTGAACCTTCCCCCTCCGGACCCTGTCAGGGAATCCATCAAGTCATATTGCTATACATTAATCACAAAAGGACACACAGTAAGAGACTCTTAAAACGTGTACACCCAGAGAGGAGATGCACATTCCTGTAAGCCGTGACTCACCCCACTAAGAATGGTTTTACCCACAACATAACTATTTAGTTCCTCCTGAAGTGTCAAGAGAAAAGAGTGACGCTATAGGCATTCTACAATAAGGTGTAGTCCTTATTATCTCTGCCGAGGAGGCTATGTTTTCAATTTGATTTGTTTGCCAGCTGATATACTGAAACAAATATTTAAAAAATAACTTAATGGAAGAGTGTAGCATCAGCCAAAGAAAAAAGCCTCATCGTAGAGGATCCAAATCCGATTGCCCTTGTAGTGAATTTAATTGATAACGTTTCAATACCCTACTTTTCTATACAAACAAAGAAAAACACATTGTTACAAAGCCTTGACTCCAACTACATGCATACCTATCCCTACATTTGAAACAAAGACTGACCTGGACCCTGAGTTCAGCAAGTTGTGAGATGAGGTCCTTAAACGTCTCTCTGTGGGCAGCAGGCAGCTCAGAGGACAACACTATGCCCACGTAGGACCCTGGAGTCGCTGACAAGACGTCAGGGAACATGAAGATCCCAGAATTAGCCAACAGCACTGGAGTGTCTGTTGTCAGCGGGTACAGACAGTCACACACCTTGAAAACATAAAGACACACACAAAAAACGAGGTCAGAATGATAAAGGTCATCATCACCCATGTACCATCATTACCAACAAAGGTTGCATTCACTCTAACTGAACTGGTCAAATATTCCAATGGTGGCTTCTGTCGAGACCTCAATTGTTTTTCCAGTTCATAATATGTGAATTGTAAATCATCCAATGTTATATCCAAATGTACTTCATATGTAAAAGGCGGTTTCTTTTGAGGCCTACAGTAAATGTTTGCTAGATGCATTGTCATTTCCAGGAAGCAGTTTCCCCTGCTCCTTTTGACCCCATGTTTTCCCCTCTCAAAAGACACATGATAGCATTTTAGCCCCATCAGGACTTATGTCAGTCATCAACACAGACATAATAGACACAGCTGCATAGTGCCACTGGTATGCCGCCTGACAGGATAACCCCGCGAGGGCGCAGGACACTGACCAGCAGCACAACAGAAGTGCAAAGTCATCTGTTAATGGGACCGTTGTCCTGCTGGGAAACAAAGCAGGGCCAGAATACAGCAGAGCAGCCATGGCTGGTGGGAAAGTCATGAGTTGCCCTGCAGTATTCTTCAGCATGGTATTACATGCACTTTGTAGAGGTGTCAGAATACAATATTGTTACTTTATGCGTTTTATATTGAGCAGGTTGTCAGAAGGCTTACAGGGACAGGGCAGATAAAGATTCTATAAGCAAGCTAAAACAAAAGTCATGCATTTCACAAATACATGGAGTAATATAGCTCAAACATTGATACCACAATGGTATTTACCAACTATTGGTATTTACTACAATGTTTTTCACATTACTCAAATATGATCTAAACATTGTTGGAGTGTAAAAGCATTATCGACATTGTAATTAGAGCTGAAATATATCTTTTTTCTATTAACAAAAATATATTTTGATGATAAATAAATCCTTTTCATGCAAAACATTTTCTATTTTTTGTTGAACCATATTGAGCCTTTGGGGTATAAGTGACAGGTATGTTTCTTTTTTCTAAGAGGTTTTATAGAAAACAGCTATCATTGGCAAATAAAGAAAATAATCAATGGCTTATGAAAATGATCAATAGTTGCAACCTGAACTTTAAAACTCTTTCAAATTTAGTATAAATGTGGTCAGGGAAAAAAAATTCTCAATCCAATACAGCTTTAATGCTGTTTTGTCATTCCATGTGCATGTGTTGTCAAACTCAAAGTGCACATCGCCCAGTCCGTCATTTGAAAGCAGAACATTTATTTGTCAGTAGTACTCATTTTATACACTATATACCAACAAAGTGACTCATAGTTAGTTCTAAAACTGGTCTTATGGAGACAAAGTGGTTTCACCCGGGGGAGTTTCCTCCTCACACACTCACCTCTTTAGACACACGCCCAAGGAAAATGCTTTGCTGAGATACCCACACCCAGATGCATACACGTATGACGAGGTATACTCACATGTAGGAAAGCTGAGGGTCTTCCACCATTGGAATTTGTGTGCTGATTTTCAAATGTGAGGATGCGAAGGAAGCCTGGGTAAGACAGGGCGCTCACTTGCCCATTCGCTGCCACGAAAAACATCTGCACCCCAGAGGGGATGTAAAGCATCTCGTTTCCATCTTTTCCTGCTGATGCCCCGGTCTGCATTCCGAGCCCGAAGCCGCCTCCAGCAGAACTATAAAACAGGCTGCGGTGGCCGACAGTTGGCTGGGGGCTGTATGCTGGAGGCTGGTCCCCTGGGTTAGCCATGGTTCCTGCAGGGAACGTGTGCAAAACAGCAGGGGTAAGAGGCCTAGGAGGGAGGTTTGGGGTTGTGCTCTCTATAGTGGTAGGTACGGTGGGGTACAGACGGTGGAGGGAGCTGTGGGGGGGCTGGCTGCTCTGTGCCAGGTCAGGATAAAGACTGAGAGGTAGATCCATCAATAGGCCGCCTCTCTGTGCTCCTGTGGTCTGCTGAGAGGTCTCCATGTCAGAGAGGTGGGTGGTAACAGTCCTCAGAGTGTCCCTCATCTTCTGCTGAAGCTGCCTGGCTGTATCCCAGAATGCTCCCTGATGCCTCTTCCCCCCAGTGGGAACTCCCAAGCCTTGGGTGAGGTGCTGTCTGCCTTTCCGGTAAGACTCCAGGGCCTCAGCTTTTTTCCCGGCCTCTTCAGCAGCCAGCCCCCGGCTCAGAGAGTGAAACGCCAACTCATACTGGTCCTTGATGATCATCAGCTCAGCAGGCTCAGTCATACTGAGGAGTGACAGGTGCTAGAAAAAGCAGGGACACAGTGAACAGATAAACAGTTCATCTCTAAAGGAAAAAAGTTGCGTCTGTATTTGCAGTCTGTTAGATTAACCATAAAAAGATGCATAAACAGAGTCAGGGATTTTGTCCTACAACACATACTGTAAATATTATACACTTAGATATTTGTGTAGGCCTACTAATTAGTTTAAGGCCAATAGTTTCGAAAATGAACACTTTGACTGAAAACGACAAAGTTGTGTTTATTAAACAGAATGAGGAAAGAGTTAAGAGCATGCACCTGTCACCCAGATATACAGCTAAACCAGATGTGAAAAGTAAAGAAAGACACATTGCCTACATAAGCACTCTGGCAGCATTACGGCAGAGTAGATGAATTAATGTAAAAAAAAAATCTGTTATGTTATTGTTGTTGGCGGCTATGACAGATTGTAAATAGCCTGAGCAAGCGAATACATCAGGTTTAACCTGAACAACAAGACCAGGGATTTGCCTGTGGGCTTTATAGAAGCCTTCTCAAGAAAACAACTTTACAGTTAAAATAACAGCATTTAAACATGTATTCATAGGCTATCAAGTGTATCAAAACATAAGATACCGTTTTCAGACAACTTACCTCTATGATAAACTTTAATATGCCTTACCTTGCACTTTAATATCCGGTAAGAGGAGAAAACCACACAAATAGGTCGTTTCAGAGTCCTTATTCAGTTGTATAGTGTTTCCGTACTTTCATGAAAATGCCTGCAAAAATATATGCGTTCACTTCACTGGCGGCGTCAATTGGCGCACACGCACACATGCGTCAAACCAGCTGGAGCGACAAAAATGGCTTCCGGCACACACTTTCAAAATAAAACCCATAGACTCAACAAAATGTTAAAATACATTTTTTATTTAGAAATAAAGAATAAATAAAACACAATTACTTTAAGTGTATTTTATATCCTTTGCAATACAGTGAGACATGAAATATAAACATTTGCACACACAAAAATGCTATGGTAAACACTTATATAATCATAATGGTAGTGATGGTAACAAAAGAAAAACCTGACATTGAGCATGAACACTTGCCAGTATTAAAAAAACCTGTCATGAGGTAGGTTTTAATAAAAAATGTTTTATTGAATTTGTATAAAATATATAGAGGAGTTTGCCATGTATGGGTTTGGCAGTGGAATCAGCTGGGTTTGTTTGGTTCTCAGTCTATTATTTTCTGGCAGAAGCTTCAAGAAGGGTGGGGCAATTATTCATGAAAAGGCAGAGCAGCAGGTGCAGTGATCAATGAAACACGAAAATACCTGTAATTGGAGAGAATAAAGTTACATTTAGAGATTTAAAATGAAGTCCTGGAAACATCAACAACTCAAACTTTCTGCAAAGCACACCTGAAATATCCCAAAGGTCTGTAATTTGCAGTAGCTGTTTGTAAAGTTGTAAATGTATATATGTATAAGTTTAAATGTATATAAACAAATACAAACTACGCCTTACTTTGAAGTCTTATACTTTTCCCTGATGGCCTGTTGAGGACGACTCTCTGCACTGATGTACAGCTTGTGGAGGGCAGTCATGCAAGGCACAATTTCCACAGTGGTATAACCAGTAAAGGCATTTAAGGAATCGGGCTAAAATATGGGGAGAAGTTGCCTAAGATGTCATATTTTTACCAATTCCTTGACAAGACAATGATCTGGGCTAACTTACCCAGAGAGATTTGTTTACAATGTAAGCAGCTAGGCAGTATGCTCCAGCTGCTACTAGAGATGGGGTGTATTGTAGGAATGGATCCATTTCCAGCAGGCTTAGCTCTGCTACATACTAGAAGCAAACAAAACACACTATCACCAAATCAAAATATCATCAAGGTACAAACAGCAACTTTAAAAGGCAGTGGGAACACATTTCTCTTTGATAATGATTTTGCTAACCTGGGCCAGGTTCTCTGTGATGGTGCAGACAGGGTGGACGGACATGAAAAGGCGAAGAAACTGGTTTATTGTGGGCGCTGCCATCCTAAAGGACAACACTTTTAGGAAAACATGCTCCATCCGGACCAGCTGTTTCTTAGTGTAGGTGCTGTCTGTGGTGTACACAAACTCATTCAGCTCTGGGGGGCAGATCTCCTCGTATTTTCTGCAAGGTGACAGAGATTAGATGATGTGAGTCTCAAGACCACCAAATGTTATTACCAAATCAGAGAATGGACTAAACAAAAAACTAATCGTTAGAGACAAACACATGCTTACGCAGCAATCATTAACGCAGCTGTGCCGACCAGCTGCAACTTGCCACGTTTCACCAATGCAGTGTACGACAGAAAGCGGTCTAAATAGTTGACGGCAAGGTGCAGCGTTTCAGAGCGAAGCCTGTATTCCTGGACGACTTCCACCAGCCAGTCCACCAGGATCACTCGCATGCCATTGGTGATCTCTGGATGTTTCTCTAAGTAGCCTGGCTTTGGCCTGGACTTTATCTGGCATTACGAACAAAAGCAGTTATGAGTTATTTACAATGGACTGTGGAGCAAAACATGCTCATAATTTAGATGATTTCTCACTTCACGCTCCCTCAAGTGCAGATGAATGTCCTCTGCATATTCAGAAACACACAGCACTTCCTTTGACATTAGGGATTCATCTTGTTCAGACTGCATAGAAGCATCATGGCCTGAACCTACAAGAGTGAACAGCAATGTAGTAAACAATGTACAGACTGAACCACGAAAAAGCCTAGTAAATGTTTCTTTGCCAAACTCACTTACTCAGTTCCGTCAAGAATCTTAAATCAGCAGTAGTTTCGGCCACTACGTTATAGCTCTCTGAGACAACTTCTTGACCAGAAGGAGCAAGAACAACTTCACAAGCCTCCTCAACATAAATATCAAAGCTGGAACTGGAGGGACGGCCAAGGAAGGCGAGATGGGAGCTGTCTGAGATTGAACTGTGTTTGGAAAATTGACTTCCCTGTGGAGAAGAGTGATTGGAGAAGGAAATATGCTTGCTGCAATGTGATTCTTATGTGAAAGGAAATGTATTTGAAAAGGTTCTTAAATGCTACAAACGCTCTCCACTGTGCCATTCTCACTTACCTGGCTGTAGGATCGACCATGATAATCATTTTCTGACAACACACCGAGGACGATCCGCTGCTTGCCTCGCTGGACCTGCACTGGATGTGGAATGTTTTCTTTGCTGATGTGACTGCCGCTATGGGCATTTGTGCTGAAGTTCATCTTTAAACAAGCAAAGATAAAGTATTAAAACATGTAACAGAAATATTTCATGAAATAAATGGGATAACTTGATAATAAGTGATTACATATACAACTGAAAATTGACCATTATTATAGTATTTGTCAGGTTCATTGAAACAGTAGGCCCATGGTTCACATTATTGATCACTTTTGAATGAAGTTGAAACGTATTTTTTGGGAATATATACTTTTTATTTCTGAAGGTTAAAGAACAGATCAAGAAATTAAAAAAAAGTCTCACAATTGATTAAAAATAAATAGTGTGGAGAGTTAAATTAGTTTTTTTGTATTCAAATAAAGTCTAGCATCAAGCATTTTAATAGAGGTCCGTAAAGTGTGATATTTACTCACTTCTCCTGTACGCAAGTGAACTGAAAATGTAACATTACCATGGTTACAAGAATGTATTACTCTCCAAGAATCACATAAACAAAAACTAAGATAAACATCGAGTAAAATAGAAGGCTTCAAACTAAGTGCATCCCTTCACTGTATCACAGAACACAACAACACATGTCGTGTCGGCTTCAAACATAAAGCATATTTTCTTGACTGCAAACTCACCGTTATCAGGATCAACGAAGTAAACAGCAAACGTTAAGAAGGTGAAAGGAAAAACCGGTGCATTCCACTAGAGCGGAGAAATTGACGGTACAATTCTGATATTTGCTGATTTGCAGACAGACAGCGACCTCTTGCTGCGTTTAAGTGACTTACACTGGCGTCCTGTGTCGTATGTTATTTATCCGAGCGATAAAAAGTTTCCTTCAGGTTTGCTTCTAAAATAATCAGCTGTTTCCTCCGAACGGCTTTCTGACCAATCACGTGCCAGAGCGCAACAGCTGATGACGTCGTGCGGCAGGAATACCTCACTGCATTTCTAATATGATTTATAATTTAAATAACGGATGGTTCTGTTTTTGATGTTCCATGACTACCTTCAATTCAGAAGATATTGTTAGGTAAAGCACCTATTTGTTGGATTTGGAAAATGACTTGTATGGAGCTCAACATTTCCATTAAGGATGCTATACCTTTCTACTGATCTCTTAAAAAAAACTCCAATACATAGTCAATCTTTGGATAATGCTTGGGTTATTATTATTTATATGTTAACAAGATGCAAATACTTTTTTGTAAAATAGTTGTGATACACTAATATATTTTGTACAAAAACATACATGTAGTTTTTTTTTTACCATTAACTCTTGTATTTTTTTCTATCTGTTAATGAAACATTTTCCTTATTTGTATTCATATTTGTGTCCTTTCTGTTTCACATGAACGTAGTCAGTTACTCTCCCTTTTTCGAGATGTATCGAGATGTGTGCTTGATATCATTATCAAAGCAGTTTATCGATGTCACTGGGATTTCTCTCACATATCTGGATTTTCCCTTTCAGCTGGCAAGTTTCTCTTGACTGCAGTTAGTCACCCTTTTGTTTGGTCTTTTACACCAAAAAAACATTGGTTTGAGGATGAAAGTGTTGCTGCTTCTGGCTGAATGCCTTCCTCTCTGTTTTCTCCTCAGCAGGGTTTAAACTGAACTCCATGCTGATCGGGTCACTGCTGTTGGCTTTGTTGTCGCTCTGCAGAGGCTGTGTGCTTGTATCCCACATCAGAGAAGCAAGGGTTTTCTATTGGCTAGAAAGCAGAAATTCACAACTGAAAACACACAAATTCTACATTATAATATATTGTCTTGTGGACCTATGCAATATTAAATGATGGACCCTCCTTAGACTCATAAACACAAACAAATTAACAATTAAAAAAGTTCAAGATAAAATAGAATAAATACATATTAAATATTAGGGAAAAAAGTATATTTACTGTAAAAACTCCACATTTGTCTGAGTATGAGAGTAACCTGCTGATGTTCTAAAATGTCCATCAGATGGCAGACTTTCTCTACAGAAATAATCGTCTGATGTTTTTCATCTGCAGTAAATCCAGCAGACTTTTGACAGGTTACGTCAAATAACCATTTTACTATTTGTCAGATAACGTAACAATATGATGCAGAATTTATCGCTGGGCTACAACCCAAATAATTCATAAATCATACATATTAAATGATCATATTACATTGTGAGCCTGTTAAGTCAAATTTGACAAATTCCCACAGAACCTTTGCTCATCCCAACTCCTCGGGGATGCAGATGGTGCAAAGCTGTGAAATACCAAAGTGACGCACCTTTCTGTGCTTGCAAAGCAAGCTGATGTTATGAGTTGCCTGAAATGATCATTGTTATGATGATTATTAGCCACAGCCAGAACTACAGGCGGTAAAGTAAAGAGTCATGGAGCTCGGGGGGCCCAGGAGCATCAACCACAGTGTTGTCATGTTGCTGCTGTTTGCTTCAGTGGAGCAACAGGGGATTAAAGAATCCAATTTGCAATCTTTCGGCTGCTTCTTGAACCTTCAGCCAACCGTCACTCTTATACTTTCCTGTATGTGTGCATTTATCATATACATACGAGGTGGGTAGAGCTACCGTCCTCATTTGAACATAAAAGTGTTCCACCT